ACATCATTTATAAGCAATGTCATCTCTTTAATATTTTTCTGTCAAATAAAAATTAAATAAATTTTATAATAATATGTGCTATAAATGATGTGTTTTTTTTTTAAAATTAAAAATTTTGATCCATAATTTTTTGTGCTAAAATTATAAATTTACATCATCATCCCACACCGAGCTATTCCACACTATTATAGAATTTTGATTTGTTCTTATTAATAATGAATATATAATTTTTTATGTTTAAATTTATCTCATAAAATAATTATTATCTAAATGTTGCTCATGAATTTTTTTAAATAAAAAATTATAATTAATAAGTGTCCCTCTAACTTAATTTATTGGCTCCGGTACTGATTGTTGTCATTCAATGTAAGGGGTGGTGTGGAAATACTAGTGGATAATTTTTTTGATATTTTTCTGGTTACTTATAAATTAAAGACAAAATTTAAGAAGTAGCAATAATTTAAGAGGTAAAAATAAAATTAACCTAGATATAATACATCGTGCAATTAAAAACAAAGAAGTTGTGCCTCATAAATTTATCAATTACCGACAAATACTAACTCTATTCTTAATTCTAATCCAAATCCAAATCAAAATCAACTGCCTGTGCACATGTTTTCTGTTTGTGAGATTATTTAATGTAACTTCTATTTATAAATTATGAGATAAAAGTAATTTAAATAAGTTTTAAAAAATTAATTATCTAAAAATTAAAGAGAATTGGTATTTTTAATTTTTAGTTTTTGATTATTAATTTTTTACTTATAATAAATTGCACATAAAACGTTGAAATTGTCACTTTACATATTCGAGTGTTATTTCCTGTCTTTTATATTCCTGTATTTTTAGTTTCTGCGTTGCACTTCATTTGTAGGAGTAGTTGTCAAGTATATTGCCGCTGTAATTCTCTACGGAACTGAGATCATTGTAAGTTTTTCATACTAATGAAATACTCCAGTTTAGTTAACTGTTCTTATGTTCAGATTTTCTGAAGTTTAATTACCAGTAAGCCACCAGTAAAAGTCCTCTTTATTGAGGCCGAAAGAACCATAACACAATCGTCTGAATAATTGTTTGGCAATTCTGTAAGGACTGATTGATCCTTGCTGGCACGCTCATAATTACGAAAGTAACCTTCGAAAGCCAAAAAAGCCAACAATAGCAATGGATAGCTAAGCAAACATGAAGAAATTTTATATCTCAAAGAGTTGAAACCTTTATTGATCTCTTATTCTTTTCAAAGTTAGTTTTAAAATGTGGTAGTATTTTTGTCATGATATACATATATATATAACTGAGAATAGAAAATTATCAACTGAGTTCAAAAAGCAAATCGTGGTGTATAAAATTCAGTGAGTTTCCCCAATTCATTCCCTAGCACATTTAAAAAATGTGTGTTTTTAGTTGCGTACAGGGAGGGAACATACATGATGGCCTTGGGGCATGTGCCTTCTTAAATCCTAGTTTGGTTGCAAAAATGTCAACACTTTTCTCAGAGAGGGGATACTACTGAACTCTCTATAACTTAAAAAAATAAATAATAAAAAACAAAACATAATTAAGGGTTGGCAATGGGCCGGACTAGACCACAAAAATGATGCTCAAGTCTGCTAGCTGGTTAAGTTTAGCAAGCTTTGTGCCGGGCTGGGGTAGCCAATGGCCCAATCTTAGGCCTAAAATTAACCCAACGATCTTGGCCATATGAGTTCACGGGCCGACAAATCGCCTCTCATAAGTCAGCAAGTTGATCTGTAAACCTAGCCCAATGAGGTGAAATTTAAAAGTATTTTTGTCTCATTTTTTTTCATAATTTTGGCGAGGTCATCTCATGAGCCAACAAGTGCAACTGCCTTCAATTCAACCTTCAAACTCTAGGTCTAAGTCTACATCAAATTTCATTGCATTCAAGTCAAATGATAACCCTTAACCCTACAACAATTAGTCATTTAGGAGAACAATTAAAAAAAGTTAAATTTCACAACATTGTTGTTTAAATAACAAGATATTTTAGTCAATTATTAGACATTTAGAAGCTTCCACCCTATTCTAGAATAGAACTTTTATACTTTTATTGAATGAGCCAATTTTCTACATTCATATGGGCGGACCATTCTATTTAGAAGACTTTTCTCTATAGCTCTTCACATATAAAATAAATAAGGGGTAAAAATTTATATAATTCTAGAATAGAACTTTTATACTTTTATTGAATGAGCCAATTTTCTACATTCATATGGGCGGACCATTCTATTTAGAAGACTTTTCTCTATAGCTCTTCACAAATAAAATAAATAAGGGGTAAAAATTAATAAAAAAAAAAAAAGGCGTATGATGACAGTTCAAATCAGAATATATATATATATATTTGTAATTCTTCTTTCACATTGTGAAACTTACTTGTGCAAGAAACAAGACTACTTATATATTCATTCAATTCATAATTTTTTAAAGATTGTTGGACTGTATTTGAATTTTAAATTTTATTGAGATTTTTAAAAGAAAATGAAAACCAAAAAATTATCTTATAATTTATTTCTTATTTCTATTTATTTATTTTTCATAAATTTAAAACTCAAACACAATTTTTTTTTTTAAAAAATGCAACTATTGTAAGTGACTTTGATTATGATTTTTTTTAAGTACTTGTAATAATAGAAGAAAATTTTGATATAAATAATAGTAATTTTTTTGATTTGTGTGGTTTGACTGGGAAATGAAAATAAAATGAATAGGAAAAGAATGAATAAATAAATATAATAAAAAAATAGTTACAATATCTAAAATGTAAATAGATACAAATAATTATTTTTTGTTCCACCAAATTCAAGATCCAAATCTACCCAATTATTTCTCAAATCAAAATTGTATATTTGCTCTATAAAGTTAAATAAAAAAATATATATTTTAATATTATAGTAATTACCTTTTTTAATGTTAAAAGCAGTCTGGTTGTTATGAAAGTGTATAGAAATTATATACAAATATACTAAAATTATAAATATTGAAAAATTATTATATAGATATATTTTGATAATTAAATTAAAAATTAATTTTTTAAATCACATCAACTTAGTTAGCTTTTTACGTATTAAAAAAAATAATAATAAAAAAAAGAACTAACTTTCAACCTAATTATTAAAATATGCCACATTTATGTGTCTTATTGGCAGTCTAAAAAAGAAATTAGAAAAATAAGATTGACCAATCGTTCTTCCAATCAGTTCATGCCACGTGTCGGGGAACGAGAAGGTCCTTTGATGACGTTTACACACCCAACAAAATTTCCGCCCGCCCCTAGATATATAATATAATGCAAAAAATGATTGTACAAAATCAAAACCCCCTCCTCTTTGTTTCTGATCGAATATTTATTTAATTTTATTTAGGTTGTATCTAAAGATTGGAAGTTGAGAACAAATTGAATCAGCGTAGCGTTGAGGCTGTTGAGCTTGGAGAAATGGCAAAGAAGGAGGAGCCGGCGATCGGAATCCCGTACACAGGCAATTACCATGCTACACAATTTCATCAACAATACTACGTGGGTCATAACCCCCATCAAGCCGGAGCCATCCCTCCCAACGCCTTCGTGGGCGATCCCAAGGGCATTCCCATTCATCAGACCATTTTCAGAGACACCCCTGCTCCTTTCAACTGCGTTTACTGCGGCAATTCCTCCCTCACCTCCGTCCGGTATTTCTTTTTCTTTTTCTTATTTATCTCCCTCTTACTCTTTCCTCTTCTATTCCATTATTCCTTTTTTTTTTTTTTTTTTTTTTTACTTTCAATTTCTTTCTATTAGGGTTTCTGTATTCCAATACCCTCCCAGAATTTCAATTGAATTCTTGTTTTTGCATCTTTATGTGCTTTGATTGATTGTTTGTTTGTTTTTACATCTACGAGATCAAACTCTAGCAATTGTGCCAATTTAAGATCAATCGCTTCAATTGGTTGGTGCTATGTTTAGAGAACACTACTCTGACCTTGTTGATTGGACTAACTTTTTTGTGAATTGATCTTTAGGATGTCATATTGGGTATATTAATTTATGATAGAGGCATGCATGTGATCTGATCTGATCTGATCTGATCTATTCCCAAGTTATTTTTCACTTGTTTTTTCCTCTCTCAAATTCTTTTTTAAGACTCTGCTCTGTGTATTATCAGTTACTTTTCGTCACACTCCTACATTTCTAGATGTGTTGCCTTGGATCTAATTGTATAATTTCAACACTCACTGCTGAGTCAATCTACAATTATATTTTTCACAAATGCCTAGATTCTAAAAAAAGAGTTTCAAATGTACTACTGACTAGATTCCAGAACAATTGAAGTATTTGGACCCAAAAAAAAGAAAAGAAAAAAGAAAAAAGGACGGCTTTTTGATGCGGAATGAAAAAACAACCATTCCCAAAGGTAATAACAGAAAGATAGTTGGAGCAAATGGCCGAGAGTAACACGATGAGTGATTGAAATGGTGTTGAGAGTTTTTAAAACTTAAACAAATAATGTCTGACTTGCAGATCCACTAAAGAAATCGGCAAAGGATTGCGTTACGATTCTTAATAATGAACTCCTTTTTGGTCATTCTTAGATATCTCTTTAATCATGTAGTCTTCTATACTTTATGTGGATGGAGCAATTTGATTTTTTTTTATTGATTGTAATTTTGATTTTGCATTTTTTCTTTCTTATGAGCTCACATTGATAAAGTTGGTTTTCACACTTGTCATACTTATTACGTGCGATGTAGTAAGAGAAGAGAAATACTAGTTTAACGTGGTTGAAAATGTTTGCCGTGTATTTATTTAGACACGTATCCACAAAAAGCAAAGATGTTTTGTCCCATTTAGAAGGATCTAGAAGTTTGGTAACTCAAGTTACGAATGCTAAAGTCATGAATATATGTAAACAAACCCTTGTTAAAATAATTCCCTGTTTCCTGTCATGTGCAATCCAGATCAAAACCTAGTCTGGCAGCTTTTGTTGGTTGCATGATGCCTATGATGCTTGGAGTTTGCTTTCTTTGCCCTTCAATGGATTGCCTCTGGCATAAATATCACTATTGCCCAGCCTGCAACCAGATGGTACAAAGCATATGCAGTCAACCTTTTCTTCTTCCAATATTTCATCCTGTGGCTTAATGTAAAACATTCTGACAATTTTACTGTTATTTATCTCTGTTTGGATGTAGGTTGCTGATTTTGAGAAGTCTGATCCTTGTTTGGTAATGGATCCTCCACAATGGTCACAGCCAAGCTTTGCATTGCCTGCGTAACGTGATAAGTCCTTAATCTGCATTACACGTCTTCGTTTTTTTTTTTTCCCCCTTTCTCTTGTGGCCTGCATGTGGTTCTTTGTATGCATAACGGAACTGAGTGAACCATATTTGTTCCATTCTTGAACACGTAAAAGAAGATTGTGGGAAATTGTTATTAAAATGCTTATGTAAAATAATAGTTTATTTTAGAATAATGGAGTCTGTATCACATGGTTTGCTTATGCTTTTCGGAATTACTCAAATATTTTCCCATGACAACATACAGTTATGGTTTTGGATGGTAAAGTGCACCTGCCTAGTGGTTATGCAGCAAATCTTTAGAGTTGAAAATCATTTGAACCCCATAAGATGTTGTGACTATGTTGGACTGATGGAACTCTTAGCTTCTCCATGAGAAACCAGCAATTAGAGACTATATTACTTTCAACTTTTAGGTCTTTTGGTTGCAAATCGAAGGCGCCACCTTGAGACCATCTCTTAGTATCTGCAACTAGGCCTTTATGTTAGTTGTAACCCCCAATATTCCTGCAAAACCCGGTAATCTAATTTCCATGATGGTCTAACTGTTCCCCCACCACTGGCCTTGCTTGGGTTGCCTTTGGCAGTGCCATCCACGTTGAGTTTTAGGTACCCTTCCTTCATGGTTTCCACCCCATAAGAGAGTTAATTCGGTTGGGTTTTATCCTTGCCTCCCACCAGAGTGTACCATGCATATGTGGATATGTATTATACCAGTACATGATTTAACTACTCATGCAATGACATTTACAAACATGAAATTAGGAGTAGTTAGGAGTCTTGCACTCTGTCATAGTTTTTCTGCAATGATTTTGCTATATTTTGTGATCACAACAAGACATGTTAGCAAGATATATGATCTAGTAATTCAAATTAAACCCATTGCAGAGAATCCTATACTTGCCAAGCCTTGTGTCCCTGGTTGAAATGTTAGCAAAGAGACATGTTACTTACCTTTCTCCTGCTTCTCTTTCATAAACTTATCCATGTTGGACTAATGCGAAAGCTGGCAAAGAAGAGTAGGCCTAGCATGAGAGACAAGGGCCTGTCAAGCTAGCCGAAGGAGACTGCCTGGGGAACCAAACAAGGTTTCTAAACCTGTAGACTGGCCAGAATGGTTTTATATAACATTATCGAATTACGTATCTGTAAACATCACACTGAGTAAAGAGGATCTCTCTCTCTCTCTCTCATTCAGCAGGGGTCGATCCTTGATACCCCAAGCACGATAGATGAAAAAAATTGTTTGGAGAGAACCCCAGAGAGACTGCAGGCAAGTCATCCTTGGCTACCAAACAAAGACTTTCGTCTTCATGTTAGGCCTCTCTTCTTCTCGAAATTCTTGGCAACTAAAACCAATGTTTATGGGGTTTTTATATATCGTCAATGTGGGGTCTAGATTAGATTCGAATCACCATACAGGTAAGCAGTGTTGTCAAAATGCATGATCTTCATGGAATTGATTCTTCGGATTAATTGCATGGGTTCATTGCATTCCAGTCATCTGCACTTATAGTCTTGTGGATGGATGAGGATAGAGTTTTTTAAGTGTCCATACACAAAATAGTAAAATTTTAAAAATAAATAAATAAAAGATTAAAAAAAAAAGGGAAAATTATTTATAAGTCCTATTAGGAGACTTATGCTACATATGGTGCTACTGAAAAACTTATGTTCCCATAAGACCTGTGGGAAGTTTGTTGACACATTTACCCTCAATATTAGTTGTTAATATCATAAATAATAATAAAATCATATATAGAAAATTGAATGTTACCATAGATCATATCTATATAAACGTAACGTAACGTGACACCTACATAAACGTAACGTGACACCTACGATCTATGGTAACATGTAGGGATGTAAGAAAAATCGAAAAAACCAACCAAACCGATTGAATTGGACCAAATCGACTATATTTAGTCTGCTTTTTTAACAAGAATCAATCTGTGCGGTTTTTAAATTTGAATTTTTTCAATTTTCGATTCGGTATTGGTTTAAGCACCTTGTGCACCGATCTAAACCGAAATCGACCGTTTCAGCATATATTGTATTTATAATATATATATATATATATATAATCTAATTAATTAACCTAAGTTTATAAACTCTTATTATATATAATCTTAACTATAACTCATTATTCTTGAAACCTTAGAATTTTTAAACTTTTTATTTTTTTATTTTTGTTAATTTAGGAATTAAAAAGTATGTATTAAATGGATGGATTTGATATATTTGAAATGGTAGACAAATAACTAATTTAATATTTTTATATAGATTAATGATTATATTTAAAAATGACTCAAGTTTGAAAAATTCTAAACCGCACCAAACCGAACCGTTTCAATTGGTTCGATTTGATGTGAGAAGCGGTCTATATCTGTGTTCAAAATAATAAAACCGACATTGTCGGTTCCGTGTAATTTTTTACCTAAATACCAACCGTACTGAACCGATTACATCCCTAGTAACATGCAAGAATGTTGCCATAAATCATATCTACATAAATGTAACGCAACGTGACACCTATGATCTATGGCAACATTCAATATCCTATATAGGAAATTGAATGTTGCCATAGATTATATCTACATAAACGTAATGAAATGTGACACCTACATAAACGTAACGTAATGTGACACTTACATAAACGTAACGTAGCACCTATGATCTATGGTAACATTCAATTTCCTATACATAGGAAATTAGGAAATTGAATGTTGCCATAGATCATATTTATATGAAACGTAACGTGACACCAACATAAACCAGCAATATTTTCACATTCAATTTAAAAAAATAAAAACTCATTAAGTTTTCGAAACGCAACGTGACACGTTACGTTTTACGTTCATGTAGGTGTCACGTTACGTTACGTTTATGTAGGTGTCATGTTACGTTATGTTTATGTCACGTCACGTTACGTTTATATAGGATCTTGTGGAATACATTACTATCTAAATAAGACTTGAGACTCTATAAAAAATTACATAAAACTTAATTTACCATAAGTGTCTGAAAAGAAACTTATAAATAAGTCTCCAAAAAAAAAAAATTTCTACCCACGTTTTCGGTATTATGTTGGCTAGCTACTTATCAAACTGGTGGTGTATTTTGCACTTTAATATTATCAGAATACCTATTTATATAAACGATATAATTATGTACATATTTGCTGAAATTGAACATCATCGGGCAATATATCAATGAATATCAATATAAGAGGATCAAAATCCAATGATATTAAATAACAGTAATGTTAGATATCATAAAAAAAAATTTATGAAAATAATTATAAAAGTTTTGTGACTCTTCGATTATACTTAGAATAAAGCATTACATCCTAATCAAGGTAATCCAAGGATCATAAATCTTTCATGATCATTTTCATGAAAAAAATTTCATAGCCCCTAACTTTTCCCATTAAATAATATCAAGCCATACATCAATTATTATAAATATAAAATGTTTAAAATTTAATGGGTAAATTACACTAACACCTCTTGAGATTTCTGTTTAATATAGATTTTCTTCTCACATTTGAAAAATTATACTTATTTCCTTATCAGATTAAAATGACATATTTACCCCTTTGTCTTTATACATACTAGCCTATGACCCGTGTTATGCACGGGATAATTATAGATATTGTGTTTACAATTATCTATATATGTGAATTGTGATTTTTAAATGTCTTTTTTTTTCTTTTTTATATGATATTAAAGTTTAATATTTTGATAATAATCATATGTGTTGGATTTTTCAAGAAATTTTTTTTTATGCTTGTTCTTAATACATTAAAGTGTTATTATGAGGGATAATAATCATATGTGTTGGAACATTTCAAAGAATTGATTTTAAAGAATTTTTTTATGCTTATTCTTTATGCATTATGATGGTAGTGGGAGTTGGGAGAAGTTAATAAATACTAATTTTTTTTTTAAATCAAAAAATCAAGAAATTTAGATTGGGAGATTGGAGCTTTCACAAGACTTTGGGTGAAAAACCCATTTTTGCTTAATATATAACTAGCCTATCACCCGTGCAATGCACGGGATAATTATAGATATTTATATTTATTTTAGATTTTTTTTTAATATATAAATTATGCTTTTAAGATTTTTTATAAAAATAATTTAACAATCTTATCACTAGCTATAGTGTATGAGAGAAATTAAAAAGGGTACTGCAGTAATTATACACGAATTGTATCTATAATTATTTGTATGAGGTAATTTTAAATGCTGATTAGGGGATTGTATCAATAAATGCAAGTATGTGGAAAGGCACGTGGATTGAAAAAAGTTAATAAATGCTAATTAGGAAATTTTGACCAAATCAATAAATGCTGCGTTTTTTTTTTAAATAAAAAATTTAGAAAATTCAGATTGGGATATTAAAACTCCCACAGGCCTTGGGGGTTAAAAATCCCATTTTGGTTAATATATAGTATAGATATAGATAATATAATATAGATAGATAGATGTGTTGAAATTTTCAAAAATTTTGTTTATGCGGGTCTTTAATGCATTAAAGTTTAATTATTAGGGGGTTTTGACCAAATCTCCCAAAAGGCATGGGGATTCGGAGAAATTAATAAATACTGAGATTTTTTTTTAAATCAAAAAAATAGAAAATTAGGATTGGAATATTGGAGCTCCCACAAGCCTTGGGGTTAAAAACCCCTTTTGCTTAATATTATAAAATATAGGTAGATATCTACAACTTTAATAAAAAATATTATCTGATTTTTTGGGGAAGAGAAAAATAATGCAAGTTTTAATTTTTTTTTTTTTAAATTTGTGAGAGAGATTAGGAGGGAGAGATTATGAAATATTTTTGTTATTAAATAAATAAATCAGTCAACAGTTTTTTTTAATCTATTTTGTAAATTAAAAATCAATAATTTTGGAAAATTGATTAATTTTTCTCATTAAGTGATTTAAAATTTTGATAGATATACATAAAAAAATATATAATTATATTATTAAATCATAATTTAAATTTAAATGTTATATATTTTTTAGATTTATAGCTAAATTCTTATCTTTTTTTTTTAATTTTTGTGTGTAACCATAGTGTATGGGAGAAATTGAAAAGGGTGTTGCAATAATTATGAGAGAAATCAAAAGAGATTGTGGGTTGAGAGATGTCAATAAATGCTGAGGTTTTTTTTTTTTTTAAATCAAAAATTTTAAAAATTAGGATTAGG